TTCAGCCTCTGTGGAAAACCATGATGATTCCTGAAAGGAATAGAAATTTACCTTCCATATGACCCAGCAATCCCCCTTCTGGGAATATACCCAGAGGAAGTCACTCTACCAAAAAGATACCTACACATGTGTGTTTATTGCATGGCACAAACCATACTGCCCACCGAAACTGGACTGAATTTTAAAGATGTGGTACGAGGGACTTCCAGCAAGATGGTGAAGGGGTAGGTTCATCCGTGAGAGTCACTGTGAAACTGAGTGACCATAGGGACTCTTGCTCACCCCCGGTGCCTCCTGCTCCCAACACTGCCAATCTGCTCTTTGGTCAACCGCATAGGCCTGAGGGCTGGCATAAAATGACCCCGCACACTGCTCTGTTTGCTGCTGCAGCCACCACCACTACCGCCGCTGGCCGCATTGGCCTGCAGGCTGGAGGCCCTCGATTCCACACACTGCCCTGCCGGTTCAGCCGCAGCCACTGCTGCTCTCTCCCACAATCGCTGCCCCACCTGGATGGGCTCTAGATTCCGGCTGTGGAATTCTTTCTATGCACCACACTGCCTTAAAGGTTCCTGCCACTGCTCCTTCCTGTGGCTGCTGCCTCCTCCCACCCAAGGCGGCTTTCAATTCCCAGCCCAGGGAGCTCTGGGCCCCTACGCCTGCTACACAGCTCTACCCTGCCTGAGTCACCCAGTGCCACACCAACCCGCAGCTCCTGGCTGTCCCACACTCCGGCCTCCCCCAGTTCAGCCGGTGGGTGGGTCAGAGAACAACTAGAGCCCTGAGATCAGGCAGAGATTGATTGACCCACCAGCATGCTGGATCCACCCAGCTCCAACCGCCACCAGCTTGAGATCTAAGGTAATAAATTCCAACTGGGAGAGACAGATACTCTCCCCCATGCTAGGTCAGACACAGCTCAGATTTGAATGGGAGACTTCTCAGGCAGCAGGCTGACTGAGGTTAGATCTGATGAAACCTCCTCTCCCTTCCCTTCCACCCTGCCCACTCAGTAGGCCTGGGGCATCAGATCCAAGCAGCCTGCAATGAGAACCAGAGGTAAGAGCTGAAAGGACATTGGACTTAGAGGAATAATCTAAGAGTATGCTTGGTCCCCTTGTTTTTATATATCAATTTGTATTCTTTTTTGTTTTATCCTTTTTTTATATCAATTTTTTTATGATGATAATGTGGAGTACAGTTAATAGTTAGGGTATACAAATACATTTCATTGAGGCACCCTGTTGATAAGAGGTGTTTCCCTGTCCCCAGAAAGGCAATTGCTACCGTTAATCCCATCTCCGTCATCCCCCCCATAGTTTCCCACTACTGTAAGTCATTTTCCTATAGGATTACATTGGATGTTCAAGGTCCATTATATGAGTGAGAACATGTGATACTCGGATCTTTGTTTCTGTGAGAGGTCACTCAGTATTATAGACTCTAATTCCATCCAGGTTGCTGCAAAATTCATGATTTTGTTCTTTTTTAAGGCTGTGTAGTATTCCATAGTGTATATGTACCACATTTTTTTAATCCAGTTCTCTTTTGATGGGCAACATGGTTGCTTCCAGGTTCTTCCTATTGTGAACTACGCTGCGATAAACATATGTGTGCAGGTATCTTTTTTATAGAGTGATTTCAGTTCTTCAGGGTATATTCCCAGTAGGGGGATTGTGGGGTCATATGGGAGGTTGATATTTAGAGCTTTTAAGAATCGCCACCCTGCTTTCCACAGAGGTTGCAGTAGTTTACACTCCCACCAACAGTGTAAGAGTGTTCCATTTTTGCCACACCCTCTCCAGTAGCTGTTATTTTTGAGTTGTTGATAATTGCCATTCTGACTGGAGTTAGGTGGTATCTCGGTGTGGTTTTGATTTGCATCTCCCTGATGATTAGTGAGGTTGAACATTTCTTCATGTGTCTGTTGGCTGCTTGGATGTCTTCCTTTGTAAATTGTCTGTTCATATCTTTTGCCCATTTTATAATGGGGTTGTCTGTTTTTTTCTTTTCATCACATTTGAGTTCCTTGTAGATACAAGATGTCAAGCCTTTGTCAGACCTGGTGTTGGCAAACACTTTTTCCCAGTCTGTAGGCTGTCTCCCTGCTCTCCTAATGGTTTCTTTGGCTTTACAGAAGCTTGTCAGTTTAACAAGGTCCCACTTGTCTATCTTCTCTCTTATGACCTGTAGGTTTCGAATTTTGTTCAGGAATTGGATGCCAGTTCCAATTTCCATGAGGGTATGTCCTTCATTTTCTAAGGTTCTTATGGTTTGAGGTTTTACATTTAGGTCTCTGATCCATTTGGAGTTAACCTTTATGCATGGGGATAGATAGGGGTTCTGTTTCAATCTTCTGCATGTGATCAGCCAGTTTTCCCAGCACCATTTACTGTATAGGTTCTCCTCTCCCCAGTAGTAGATGGTGGAGGCTTTGTCGAAGATGAGTTGGTTGAGAAATTGAGGTTTTGCTTCTGGAATCTCAAGTCTATTCCATTGGTCTATATGCCTGTTCCTGTACCAATACCAAGCTGTTTTGATGATTGTAGCTTTATAGTAAAGTTTGAAGTCTGGTAATATGATACCACCTGCTTTGTTTTTTCTACTGAGGATTGCTCTGGCTACTCTTGGACGTTTGTGTTTCCATATGAATTCCTGTGTTGTTTTTTCTAGGTCTGAGAAGAATGTTGCTGATAATTTGATGGGTATTGCATTGAATTTGTAGATTGCCTTAGGTAAGATGGACATCTTCACAATGTTGATTCTTCCAGTTCATGAGCATGGGATATTTTTCCACTTGTTTGTGTCATCTTTGATTTCTTTGAGCAGTGTTTTGTAGTTTTCATTGTAAAAGTCTTTCACGTCTCTGGTTAGGAAGATGCCAAGATACTTCATTTTTTTGTGGTTATTGTGAATGGAATTGTGTTTTTTATTTAGGTTTCTGTTTGTTTATTATTGATGTAAAGAAATGCGATTGTCTTTTGCACATTTATTTTGTATCCTGAGACTTTACCAAAGGCCTTTATCAGTGTAAGGAGGTTTCTGACAGATTCTCTTGGGTTTTCAAGGTACACAATCATATATCTGCAAAGAGTGATAACTTGACTTCCTCTTTTCCTATTTGGATACCTCTGATTGACTTCTCTTCTCTGATTGCATGAGCCAGGACTTCCAATACTATGTTGAACAGGAGGGGTGAGAGTGGGCATCCTTGTCTTCTTCCAGTTTTCAGGGGAAATGGTTCCAATTGTTGTCTGTTTAGGAGTATCCTGGCTGTGGGTTTCTTGTAGATGGCTTTTACTATTTTGAGATATGTTCCACGTATGCCTAGTTGTTCAAGGGTTTTTATCAAGAAAGGGTGCTGGATTTTATCAAAAACTTTTTCTATATCTAATGATATAATCATGTGGTTTTTGTTTTGTCTGTTGATGTATTTAATTACATTTATGGTCCTATGAATGTTGAACCAGGCTTGCATCCAGGGAATGAAGCCTACTTGGTCATGATGGATGATTTTTGAGATGTGTTGTTAATCCGGTTTGCTAGTATCTTGTTGAGAATTTTAGCATCTATGTTCATCAAAGATATTGGCCTGTAGTTCTCTTTATTTGTTGGGCCTTTGCCTGGCTTGGGTGTCAATGTGATGTTAGCTTCATAAAATTATTTGGGGAGAGTTCCATCTTTCTCAATCACCTGGAATACTTTCAGTAGGACTGGCATTAGTTCCTCCTTGTATGTCTTGTAGAATTCTGCTGGAAAACCATCTGGTCCAGGGCTTTTTTTTGTAGGTAGTTTTCTTATGACATAGTCAGTTTCCTTGATTGTTATTGTTTTATTTAGTGTCTCGAAAGGAAGTGCAACAAAAAAAGCAGAAAGAAATGGAGTCTGTCAAAATGTTGGTTAAACAGTATGTTTTTGGAATTTAGCCTGGGGATGGGCTGAGCCCAGTGACAAAAATGCTGTTTATTTATTTATTTATTTCTAAAATATCTTTTTTTTGAATTGGAGTCTCACTCTGTCACCCAGGCTGGAGTGCAGTGGCATGCTCATGGCCATGACAGCCTTGACCTGCTGTGCTCAGGCGATCCTTCTGCCTCAGCTTTCCAAGTAACCGGAACTATAAGTGCGTGCTACCATGCCTGGCTAATTTTTCAATTTATTGTAGAGATGAGTTCTTGCAAAGTTGCCTGGGCTGGTCTCAAACCCATGCTCCGGCAATCCACTCTCCTGGGTCTCCCACGGTGCTGAGATTACAGGCTGAGCCACCAAGCTTGGCCCCAACTTCTTTTTAAAAAAATTTTTAAAATTTTATTTTAAAGATGTGGAGTACAATTCAGGATTAGGTATATAAGTGGACATCACATAGGCAAAGTTTGGGCCTCCCTTTGGTCCCCACTTCATCTGATTTGAGATAAGATATGGTTAATGTTGTCGTGTCCTCTCCCTACTTCCACCCTGGCAGTATCCTGCTACTGCCAATCCCTTTCTTATAGTATTATGGTAAATGTTCAGGTCTGCTTATGAGTGAGAACATGTGGTGCTCTGTTCTTTGTTTCTGTGATAGATCACTGAGTATGATAGACTCTAAATCCATCCAAGCTGCTGTAAAGTCCGTATGTTTGTCCGTGATACATAGACACAGTGGAATATTACCCAACTTTTTTTCCAATTGAATAAGCAATCTCTAAATCTCAAGTGCTGACTATGTTGAATGGATAAGGATAATAACAGCTAACACTGAGTGTTTCCTATGTGCCAGAGAGTGTTCTGAGTGCTTTACACGTATTAAGTCATTTACTCCTTTCAACAACCCTTTGAGGCAGGTTTTATTCCTATTTTACAGATGTGGAAACTAAGGCACAAAGAGCTTAAATATCTTGCCCAAGACACCTTGACCGATAAGAGGCAAAACTGGATGGGGATGCAGACAGAGGCATCTGACCCTCAGAGTCTGAATTCTTAACCATCAACCTCAATTTATCCAGTGGGATAAATAGGCGATGGGCAAAATGAGAACTTCCCTGCCGATTAATTCTGCCAGTGAACACTTTGTTGGCAAGGTCCTCAGGTGCAGACCTTGCATTTATGAATATTCAAATAACTCCATTAGGACTGTGGGTCCTGGAGGCATGCTGCTTAAATTGACTGCCTGGCTCTTCCCATTTCACTGTTGTGCTTTCCTAGCCTGCTCTGTAGACATTCAAGACTTTGGGGAGTTTCTTTATAGTCTTATCAATCTGAATTTAATTTTTTTCCTTAACAATTTTATACTACTGTTATACTACCTTTGCTCTTTGTTATCATTGTTCCTGAACCTTAATACAATGTGTCTAGGTGTAGATTTGTTTTTATTAATGATCCGTCAAGTCCATCTGTATCATATTGCTGTGCGTTATCACTTGTAATTCAGGAGATGGACCAATCTTTTCTTGTTTGTTTGTTCATTTGCAGAAAAAATCAAGGACTTGTTTCCAGATGGCTCTCTTAGCAGCTCTACCAAGCTAGTCCTGGTGAACATAGTTCATTTTAAAGGGCAGTGGGACAGGGAGTTTCAGAAAGAAAGTACCAAGGAGGAGGAATTTTGGCTGAATAAGGTATGGTCCTTATGTGATGTGCTTATACACGGAGCATAAAATCCAAATCATATTTGAGCACATATACATTGGCAGATAGAAAATGTTCATTCTGAGACTCTGACCTTAAGAGTGATTTTAGGTTGAGCTAATTAATTTGGTGAGTGAACTTGGCTGCTGTATGCCTTTGGCTTTATGTCTTTTGACATTGTGTGCCCTCTTACTTTGTTGCAGAGCACAAGCAAATCCGTGCAGATGATGACACAGAGCCATTCCTTTAGCTTCACTTTCCTGGAGGACTTGCAGGCCAAAATTCTGGGGATTCCATATAAAAACAATGACCTTAGTATGTTTGTGCTTCTGCCCAATGACATAGATGGTCTGGAGAAGGTAAGCGCTTGCATCTCCCTGTTCTTGCTTTCATTTCTTGAGGCGTTGTGTCCCAAAGCCTGGAAACCAGGCTTCTGAGTAGGAGCTGGTATCTGGCAGTGTCAATCAAATAGAAGTATTTCTCACTGGCAGCAGTGACGGATGGCTAAAGAGGAGCATTAAATAGTGTGTATCAAGTTTACTGAGAACAAACAATCCTAAAATATTTGGTGATGAATTAGAAGAACATTTAAGATTATATGGGAGTTCTAAATATCATCCATCATTCTGAGAAATGGTTGACATCTATGTACCCCTTTCTTGGAAAAACAATCACATATGCACATTACAAAGTCAATTTTGCCCTTAAATTTTTTTTAAGCCTTTAGTCTTAAACTCATTGGCATAGTTTAGAAACGTATATAGCTAGTGTCCTGTATTTTGAAAATAAGGAATAATTTGTCTCAAATCCTTGTTTCTCTAGTAGCTTTTTGATGCTTGAAACTTCCTAATTTCCTTGAACTTCAATATTTTCCCATCTGTAAAGTGAGCTCGATGGTGCTTAACATGTAGCGTTGCAATAATTCGAGAAATATAGACTAGAATGGGTTTAGGACATAGATAGCACTCTACAAGATTACAGCTGGTATGTTATTACAATATCAGATGCTGTCCTATTGCTATGAAATATTGCTACTAGGATTTTAAGTTGGAAAATATTTTGGAATAGCACAATGACAATATAGGAGAGTTTTAAGAGTATTTATAGTCTAACTCAAAAACTCCAGATGTGGGAATTACCCTAAATAAATAATTCAGAAGAAAGTAATTGCATTTCTGAGTGAAATCAGTAATTTCAGTATTAAATACACTAGGATACCTAGTTTGAAATTCAAACTAATTATTGTTTTTGTTCCCATAGTATCTATCAGCATCCATAATATTGCCTGATACATACTATATGTTTGTAAAGTGAATGCATAGATGAATATTGGGTAAAATTATCTATCAACTCAATGAGAATATTATCTAGCAGTTTGAAGATACTTAAGAGAGATGTGCAATAGTGTGAAAAGTTTATTTTTTTACCGAATAAAGTAGACATTCACTGTGATTGCAACTATGTAAATATGTATATATGCATACAAAGACTAGAGGAGATAAAAAATGAAATAATATATATTAAATTAATAGAACAAGAAATTAATTGTATTTAAGCTTTAAAAATTCAGTGCTGCAGGATGACCACTTATGTACCAAATCTGGAACTGTACTCCACATCTTTTTTTTTACTAATAGCAATAATAATAATTATAGTAATAATTTTTTATTATAATGATGTAGGGTACAATTCAGGGCTAGATATACAAACGTTGACCATACAGGTACCCTTGTTGATGATGTATGCTCCCCCTCCCCTAGCAGCTCCCCTCAACTGCCAATCTGTACCCCACATCTTTAAAATAAAAAAATTAAAAAGTTCAATGCTATTGGATTTTTATGTGCATGCAGATAATTTAAGTGGAGAAATAGAAGATAACTGCCTGTTATATAGAGACAAGAGCCCAGTGAAATAAAATTTCCGCTTTTATGTATTACTAAAATTAATAATTCCTGACAGATACAAGTCAGTGTTATACCATTTTAACTTTTTATTGGTAAGCATACCATTATGCTCTTCTTTGTTTTTTAAAAAACAGATTATTGATAAAATATCTCCTGAGAAATTAGTAGAGTGGACTAATCCAGGGCATATGGAAGAACGAAATGTGAATTTGCGCTTGCCCCGGTTTGAAGTGGAGGACAGTTACGATCTTGAGGTGGTCCTGGTAGCCATGGGGATGGCAGATTCCTTCAAGGAGTACAAAGCCGACAATGCAGAAATGTCCTCGCCTTCCGGGTTGCATGCCCAGAATTTCCTACACAGGTCCTTCATAGTGGTCTCTGAAGAAGGCGTTGAGGTTACAGCTGCCACCGGCATGGGCTTTCATGTCACATCAGTCCCAGAATATGAAGACGTCCACTGTAATCATCCCTTTCTGTTCTTTATCAGGCACAATGAATCCAACAGCATTCTTTTCTTTGGCAGATTTTCTTCTCCTTAAGACAATACTGCTGTGGCGTTACTAGCAACCACCAGTGTTATTCATAGGATTATGGAACTCGTTCATTCTTTTAAATTTCATCTTGCTTGGCTGCGTTTCAATCTTACCATCATATCAATGATTTAATGACTGCAGTAGTGTGTGTTTTTAACTTTCCTTGAAAGTGAAATGTCCTCTAGTTTGTGCCACACATAAGTCAAACCAAAGCTCATTTACAATCTCTGCTTGTTTTATTTTGAAAGTAAATCAATATCTTGCAGTTTTGTATATCTCTTGGGCAAAGAATATGCACTAGTGATTTGGGGTTTTCCTTTAGTTTTAGTATTTTAGCATATTATAATATACAAATAAAATAAAAAATTTACTCAATTTGTTTGTGTGTTACTTTTTTCTTCTCAACGGATATTATGGCAAACTGCACATAGAAAAGAGAATTTAGAAATGTAGTAGCAAAACCTAAGTTAGAACTCAAATACCAGAACGAAATAAGGTAATATATCAGACAAAGGATTCTCTTAGTTTCATCTTCTGTTTTAACAGATTATATTATCCATTGTCAGTTGCATAAACATTTTGATATTGTGAAATAAATGTGATATTTGAGAAAATAAATGTAAATGATCAATAATCCTACCCTGTCCCCTTTTCAGGCATTAGAAAGTAAATATTTGGAATAACTTTTAAAAGAGTAATTCTTTCTTTTCTTTATTTGCATTTTTTTTGAGAGATGTATGGGTATTATCAGATGATATATATATATATATATATATATTGTTTTTGGTTTTTTTTTGAGTTGGAGTGGCCACTCCTGGCCAATGCAACCTCCACCAGCTGGGGCTCCAGCAAGCCTTCTGCCTCAGCCTTCCAAGTAGCTGGAACTACAATCACATGCTACCACGCCTGGCTGATTTTTTGATTTATTGTAGAGATGAGGTCTTGCCAAGTTGCCCAGGCGGGTCTGGAACCCGCGGGCTCAGGCAATCCACTCACCTTGGTCTCCCAAAGTGCGGGATTACAGGCTGAGCCAGTGAACCCTGCCCAGAGGATATTTTTTTGAAGATGCTTTTGGAAAAGCTCTGCACCTATTCCAGATGTTCTTTATTGTTGACCTGTTTTTTTGTTTGTTTTTAACATGGTCGCATTTCTCATTTTTTAAAACCAATTTCTTGAGCTATAATTTACACAGTGTACAATTCGTTCATTGTAATTTTACAATTCATTGATTTTTGGTAAATTTCTGGAGTTATGCATCCAGTTTGAGAATGTTTCCAGCACCCTAAGAAGTGTCCTCATGTCAGCTCATATCCCTAACACTATGCAATCACTGACTTGTTTTATGTCTGTATTTTTTTTCTAAATCTGATAGAAATAGAATAATTGAAATATGTAGTATTTTGTGTCTGGCTTCTTTCACTTAACATGATGTTTCTGAGGTTCATCTGTTATAGTATGTACTGATACTTAATTTCCTTTTATTGCTGGATAGTATTCTTGGAAAAGACACATTTTGGTTATCTATTCAAAGGTTGATAGAATTTTAACCATTCCTCATGTTTTGGCTGTTAGGAATAACGTTATTAACATTTGCATAAAGGTCTTTTTGTGGACATATATTTTCATTTATCTTGGGTAGGTTTTTAGGAGTGCAGTTGTTGGGTCATATGACAAGTTGTTGCTTAGTTTTCTAAGAAACTGTCAAACTGTTTTGTGTCTTTATGATTATAGCAATTCTAGTGACTATGAAGTTGTTTCTCATTGTGGTTTTATTTGCATTTTCCTAATGACTAATTAGGCTGAGCATTTTTTTTCATGTGCTGTTTGGCTGTGTGACATCTTTGGTAAAATGTATACAAATTGCCCATTTTTAAATTGGGTTATGTGCCTTATTTTTCTCTTATTATTGAGTTAAAAGAGTTCTTTATATACTCTGGCTATATGATTTATGAGTATTTCCTCATAGTCTTTTGATTTTCTTGTTGGTGTCTTTTAAAAATATATAGCAGTTTAAAAAATACAATTTACATACTGTAAAATCTACACAAAGTGCACAGTGGAGTAGTTTTAGTGGATTCACACAGAGTTGCGTAGATACCTCCACCATGTATTTTAAAACTTTTCTAACACTTTCAAAAGAAACCCCATACCCATTAATGGTCACTCTGCAGTTCTCTCCTTCCTGACTCATGGAGATTATTACTTTATAGTCTGTTTTTATGGATTTACCTATTCTATATACTTTATATAGATGGCATCATATAATATGTAGTTTTTTGGTAACTTGATTTTTTAACTTAGCAAAATGTATTAAAGATTCATTAAAGTTACAGCATGAATCAATACTCCATTCTTTTTTATGACTTAGTAATAGTCCATTGCAGAGAGATATGTTAGATTTTGTTTATCCCTTCATTAGTTAGTGTTCAACTATTGTAATGTTTGTGTTCAACATTCAAATCTGTATTTTAATTTTTGACTCTTATAATAATAATCCTATGAACACTTTATGTACAAGTTTTTGTGTGGATATATATTTTTATTTATTTTGTGAATATACCTAGGAATCGAATTGCTGAGTCATATGGTTCCTTTGTTTTTCTCAGTTTGAGGGAATGTGCAATCATCTTTTTTTAAATTTTAGATTCAGGAGTACACATGCATATTTGTTACATGGACATATTTTTTAGTGGTGGGTATTGGGCCCATTCTCCAGATAGTGAACATTGTGCCCTGAGCATAAGTTTCTGAACCCTAATTCTCCTTCACCTTCTTCCTCCGCAGTGTCTATTATTTCCATCTTTGTGACCGTTTAGCTTCCACATATTAGTGAGAACATGCAGTGTTAGGTTTTCTGTTTCTGAGTAAGTTTACTTAGGATGATGATCTGTAGCGCCATCCACGTTGCTGCAAAGTACATAGTTTCATTCTTTTTTATGACTGTTTGATATTCCATGGTATGTATGTGTACATATAACATTTTCACTATCCACTGATTGATTGATGGGCATTAAGGTTGATCCCACATCTTTTCAATTGTGAATTGTGCTGCAATGAACATGTGGGTGCAGGTGTCTTTTTTATATAATGACCTCTGTTCCTTAGGATAGATACCGAATAGTGGGATTGCTGGTTCAAATGGTAGATCTACTTTTAGTTCTGTGAGCAATCTCCATACCTCTTTCCACAGAGGTTGTACTAGTTTGCATTCCCACCAGCAATGTAGATGCTTTCCTTTTTCTCCCCATCCTTGCCAAGACCTGATGTTGTTTGTTTTTATTACTGTTGTTTTATGGTCATTCTTACTGGGGTTAGGTGGTATTTCAATGTGGTTTTGATTTGCATTTCTCTGATGATTAGTGAGGCTGAGCACTTTTCCACGTGTCTGTTGGCTGCCAATATATTTTCTTTTGAGAAAAGTCTATGCATGTCTTTCGCCCACTTTTTAATGGGGCTGCTTGTTTTTTTCCTTCCTGCACATTTGAGTTTCTTGTAGATCCTGGATGTTAGGCCTTTGTCAGATATATAGTTGGCAAATATTTTTTCCTATTCTGTGGGCTGTCTTCCTGCTCTCTTGATGGTTTCTTTTGCTTTGCAGAAGCTTTTCAATTTGATGAAGTCCCACTTGTTTATCTTATCTCTTATGGCATGGACACCTAGGATTTTGATCAGGAATTGGCTGCCTACTCTGATTTCTGTAAGGGTGTCTCCTGTGTTTTCTAAGATTCTTATAATTTGAGGTTTTATGTTTAGTTCTTCAATCTATTTAGAGTTGATTTTTGTGTATGGTGATAGGTAGGGATCCTGTTTCAATCTCCTGCATGTGGTCAGCCAGTTTTCCTGGCACCATTTACTGAATAGGTTCTCCTCTCCCCAATGGTTGTTGGTGGAGACTTTGTAGAAGGTGAGTTGGTTGAGAAATTGAGGTTTTTGCTTCGAGTGTATTGATTTTGTATCCGGAAACTTTACTGAATTCATTTATAATGTCCAGGAGCCTTTTTGGAGGAGTCTTTAGGGTTCTCTAGGTATAAGATCATACCATCACCACACAGAGATAGTTTAATTTCTTCCTTTCCCCTTTGGATGTACTTTATTTCTTTTTCTTTCCTGATTGCTCTGGCTAAGACTTCCAGTACTATGTTGATTAGTAGCAGTGTTAGTAGTCATCCTGGCCTTGTTCACGTTCTAAGGGGGAGCTCAACTTTTCTCCATTCAAGATGACATTGGCTGTGAGTTTGTGTTGTATAGCTTTTATTATTTTGAGAAATGTTCTTTTTATGCCTATTTTGCTGAGGGCTTTTATAATGAAGTGATGCTGAATTTTATCAAATACTTTTTCTGCCTATTGAGACAATCATATGATTTTTGTTTTTAATTCTGTTTATATAGTGGATTATGCTTATTGACTTGTGTATGTTAAGTCACTCTTGTTTAATTTTTAATTTTAAAGTTGTGGAACACAATTCAGGGTAAATTATACAAATGTTCATTATGTAGGCACTCTTACTGATGAGGTGTATCCCCCAGCAGAATCCCCCTGCTCCCAAACCTGCTCCCACCCCAGGAATTTCCCACTACTGACAATCCTTTTTCTAAAGTATTACAATAATTGTTCAAGGTCCACTTATGAGTGAGAGCATGTGATACTCAGTTCTTTGTAGAATGAGGTCATTTTCACCAGAACTTTTAATTTGTATCTGGATAAGGGAACACAGCTAGTTATTTAATGTTGTTTTTATACACTGCATGCTTTTTGTGTGTAGTTCCATTTAAAATATGTATTTGTTAAATTTTTAAAGTAAACATTCACATATTATCTATGAATATTTATAGTTTTTCCCAATCTGTATGCTATATCGTTTGTTTCTTACATTGCACTGACTGGGGGATTCAATTCAATATTGAAGAGGAGGAGTGGTTGCAGAAATCTGTATCACACTCTATAATTGTAAGGAGTTTCTCTTACCATTTACCGTTAATTTTAATTTGCATATTTCTTTTATTGAATCCTT